CCATATTATATTATAAGTCGAAAATTAGAGAAAGTAGTAGCAACGATCGCAAAAATGTAAATTGTTACGATAATGCTGACAAAACTACCCTATTGGAAAGGGTTAACAAAGGTATTAACGTATTAAATAATACGAATTCATACACAAGTAATAAACCATATTCCGTGAGCAACTTTTTATCAGTAATTAATTCTGCAACCACCCTGCTCGAAACATTGGACGAAATCAGAGATAAATAATACATTAAAGAATTATTAGAGGGAGTGGCACAAATAGCTGAAAAATATAAAACTATAAGCCACCTTCAAATGTCCAATAAACAACGAATGGTTTAACAACTTTTGGTCGCCGTAATGTTTTTATTGAAGGGGAAGACACGAATACCTCCTACTATCAACGAACACGTCCGGATAGCCAAAATAAGTATGAATCAGAATACGGAAGATAGGGCATCAAGAATAATCGGCATGTCACAACTAGATCATTTGAATTTAAATGAAAAGAAACATATAGTTGATATAAATAAATTCAACGACAGATATTACTTACCTGGAGACAGATTAGGATACACTAATCTACTCCAACACGAAATACCATTAACGTCGAAGGTACCTATTCGTATAAAACCTTTTAGACAACCCCCGGATTTGAGAAAAGAAATTGATGCTCAAGTTTTAAATATGCTCGACCAAGGTATAATTAAAAGTTCTTTTAGTCCTTACTCGTCTCCAATATTTTGCGTAGACAAGAAAAGAAATGCTGAAGGCTTAATCCAGAAAAGACCAGTAATAGACTTCCACGCAGTAAATACACTGATTCCGGATTAAAATGTTCCAGTGCCGAATGTAGACGATCAGATAGATGCGTTAGGAGGATCCACAATATTGTCGGTCTTTGACCTTTATTCAGGATATCATCAATGCCTAGTTAAAAAGGAGGACAGGCAGATGACAGCATTTCAAGGCGACCAAGGCCTTTTCCAGTTTACAAGGTCACCTTTTGAATTGAAAACAAGCGCGCCGGTCTTTCTGTCAGTAATTCACCTTTTAACGACAGGAATGAATGGAGTAGTAACCTTCTTCGATGATATTTGCGTACATAGTAAAACTATTGAGGAACATTGTGAAAGTATTATTGAATTAATGGAACGTCTAAGAAAAGTGAATTTAGTATTAAACCGATTGTTTAACATTTCAGTGCATGTTTACACGTTTCGCTATAGGTATTCCAATACCTGATCAAACGTCTATTACTATAGCAGATGCTTTTATTAAACGTCTAGTTTGTATATTCGGAGCACCAAACGGCTTGCTTACCGATTGCGGGCAAAATTTTTTGTCAAAATTAATGAAAATAGTTGCAAAAAGATTTCGTATTAAACAATTTCGCACAAGCGCTTTTCATCCTGAATCAAACGGATTAAAAGAAAGACAACACTCCTCATTAAACGAATATTTAAAAGTTTTTATAAATAAGTTTGAAGATTGGGATGAATTTGTAGAAATGGCAATGTTCAATTATAACGCTAGCAGACATGAGGCTACGCATTATACTCCACATGAACTCATGTTTGCAAGAGATGCAAGAGTACCATCAGCAACTTTGCTAGAACAGGAAGATCTTGTGCCTACTTATGTCGATTATATGTCACAACTAATTAACCGTTTGAATGCTTTGATCCAAATTGCTCGTGATAAAATTACACTTGCAAAAATCAAGTCAAAACATTATTACGACAAAAATATCAATCCCAGAGAAATTAAGGTAAACGATTATGTTTGGTTTTTAAGTGGCCCCAAATCAAAAAAATTCGATGACCAATATTCTGGTCCATATCTGGTATCGGAAGTATGGCCCAACGGAAATGTACGAATTGAGATCGGAAAAAACCGCAGCAAAATTGTACATACGAACCGTTTACGCATATCGCATATAAGGCCAACCGAATAATCGTTTCGCAAAATTTAATGAACAATCGCACAGATTGCATGTTCTGATTAAGATCTATTAAGGAATAACTTAAATTTATTGTTTGCAGATGATGAATCTTCTAATTTACCTACTGCTCTTGGAACTTGTCACCAATACGACGGCCTTCATTGCTTATAATTGTGCGCAGAAGTTCGTAAATATTACATGTTTTTCTTTAGTAGATATTGCAGTTTGCGAATTGCCACCACCAATCGTCAATTCTACGCAGATCGAAGTATCACTATTGCAACTCAATGAATATTCGTCGGTCGGAGTGCGCTATTGCAAAATAGAAATAGATAGGGACGCAAAGAGATGCGGCTATAATAATCATAATAAGGAAGTTGGATTAGGAAGAATAAAATACCTACGTGAAACATCAAGAGATGGATGCCAAAGAATGCACGTACACAGATCAATATCTATAGGAGATCGCCTCTTTCAATCCTTACTAGTGAATAATTCAGTAGTACACGCTACAACTTTCACAGGATCAGCCGATAGCACTGGTGGATGCAGTAACGCAGGCTACTATAATGACCCATATGGCGAGTTTCAAGACGTTTTGTGACAGGATATGTTAAAATAACGTTTCAAGAACACTGGGAAACAGTATCACTAGATAATAATAAAATCACATTATCAACAGGTACGGTTTGTGAATTCAGTGTCGATAAATGCGTAGATAACGTTCTCGGTTACGCTTTCTGGGACTCAATTCCTATGCACGAGTGCCAAGAACATACACTGCCCGTCAATCACTTTTGCCATGCTTACCTCAAAATTAGGCAAACTTGAAAGTTTTGTATCTCGGTCGGAAATCATCGTATCTCAAAAAACAGCAGGGCATTTTAAAGGTAATTGCAAAAGCTTCCATTTAAGACGTGCAGAGACTTAAAAATGAAAATTTGTGTTTTTTACAGTAAAAAAACTGATTAAAAAAATTTCAATTTTTTTAACCTCGACTTAAATCAATGCCAATTTAGAACCAGGCGGTGGAGGGCAAATTGACCAGAGGGGTTCGGAGGGTAATGTCTTTCCCTTTAAAATTAGCCCCCGCGAGGTTCTATCCGATGTTTTTTAACCGAGTTACGGCGTTTTTTGTAAAAAAATAACCTTTTTTTTCAATCCTCAATTGCTTTGATTTGCGTACGTTTTGGAAAAAAATGCCACGGAGAAAAAAGTTTCATTTTGTGCCCAAGAATACGAAAATAAAGTCAAAATAAAGAAATAGAGAAAAAATTTTTTTTCGGTTTTTTAGCGCATTAAAAAAATAAAGGAATTTAACTTTTTTTTACGTTTAGTTTTAGTTTTTTTGTGATTTACTACGTCTCTAGGCATTTTAAAACGAAGCGTAAAAAAAAAGTTAAATTCCTTTATTTTTTTAATGCGCTAAAATACCGAAAAAAAATTTTTGAATTGAATTGAAAAAAAAGGTTATTTTTTTACAAAAAACGCCGTAACTCGGTTAAAAAACATCGGATAGAACCCCGCGGGGGCTAATTTTAAAGGGAAAGACATTACCCTCCGAACCCCTCCGGTCAATTTACCCTCCACCGCCTGGTTCTAAATTGGCATTGATTTAAGTCGAGGTTAAAAAAATTGAAATTTTTTTAATCAGTTTTTTTACTGTAAAAAACACAAATTTTCATTTTTAAGTCTCTGCACGTCTTAAATGGAAGCTTTTGCAATTACCTTTAAAATGCCCTGCTGTTTTTTGAGATACGATGATTTCCGACCGAGATACAAAACTTGCATATCTAACACCTATAGTGGTAGCGAAAGGCTACCACTATAGGTGTTAGATATGCAAGGAGTGTCCTTCGCATTTAAAGATATAGGAGCATTACCTAAATGCGGGTTTGTCTTAACCTATTAAGGCCCATGCCAAACCTGGGAAAGATAGCGCCAAACTAACTATGCCAATCGTAGCTTGTTCGGGCCGGAATGCACGTCGCAAGGTCAGTTTTGCCCAAATTTATTTTGGCCTACTGCATAACAGGAGGTCGTGACGTCACTCGAAGAGAATTTACACCGGTTTCACCTAAGGGTCAACGATTGTCCATAAACTTGTTTTCTGTTTTGCTTCCTGTTTTTTAATGAATTAATAACACTTTTGTTTTCTTTTTTTGTATTCCTAATTTTGCTACTTGTTCCAACTCGCTTGGTGACGTCAGCAAACAGGCTACTACGTCCTCTGCAGACTTCAAGAGGGCAGCACTTCCCAGCGAGCATGATGGTTTTCGTCAGCGATCGCAGAGGTGGGAGTAACTCTGGTACCTCTTCCATTGACCCATTCACTGGAGTGGGAGACGGCGTCGAGGCGCTCACCAGAGTTGATGCCTGAGAGACGGACGAGCTGACCAGCCAGTTCTGTTCCTGATCACCAACGGATCGGTCATCTCTACTTCCGGCTCTCGACACGGCGGTGAGATAGTGAGCTCTCCGCGTGTCTATCACTGGGGTGTGCAGCGTTTGCCCCCTCTTCTCCCCTGAGATCTGGTGAACAACCAGCGAACGCTCCAGCATCTGCTTCACAACGATTCCTCCGGCAACTGTCCCTGCTCATCTTCGTGACAGCCCTGGCGCCTGATCACCTGATGTGACAGTGACTTGTCTGGTTGCTCGTGTCAAGCAGCGCTGTCGTCCCCAGGTTGGAAGCCTCTCAGTCTGGCGAGGAGATCGCGGTTGGCGTTCGCATCTGGGTGATTCTCACGGGAGAGCCCTTCTGTCATCTCTGTGTGGTCTCGCAAATTCGCGAAAATGTTTTCATTTATTTAATTATACTCTCTTCATTGTATAAAAGTAAAGGTGAATAAATCTGGGTATTCTGTACGACGGTGACATCTCTCATATCAGCGACCCTATCACTCCTCGATCAAATCGGTATTTCCTAGCGAGTGTGATTTCTTTAGAAGAAACCGATCGACTAAAAATAACCTCGCGAACATTTGGTCCTTCGAGCCGGATAACGGAGTGAGTTGTGTGTTGTTGTTCGTGTGTTTGTGTGACAAGTGACCTTCACCACTATGGAGGATTCGTCGGCTTCGCTGTTGGAGCAGTTGGAGACGGGCATACACATCTCCAACATGATTATAAACACCGACAAGAAAGGTAAGGCTGATCAGACCTTCGAGCGTCTCTCCAATAGGTTGCAGCTCCTGGAAAGCTATTGGAAGACGTTCGTGGGCAACCACGGCAAGGTCTGCCGAGAGAACGCCGGACTAGCAAAAGACCATCCGTACTTCAGTCGTAGTCAATTCTACGAAATCGAAGATGCTTACGTGACTGCTAAGACGGAGCTGACAGCTCGCTTGGCCCGGTTAACCTCTGCGAGAGACGGAGACCGAGGAGCAAGCGCTGCAAGCGCCTCCTTGGTACAGATGTTACCTACACCTCCCTCTCTCCCATCACTAACATTACCTACGTTTAACGGGGACCAACGAAACTGGGAATCCTTCAAGGAACTCTTCAGTTCCATGGTGAAGGACGTTCCTCACATAGCCAATGTACAGAAGCTACAGCGATTACTATCTTCGTTGGAGGGCAGCGCAGCCGCGCGTCTCCGAAACATCCCGCTGGTGGGGACAAATTTCGAGGTGGCCTGGAGCATTCTGTTGAAAAGTTACGACAACAACAGAATCAAGCTCGCAGACCACCTGAAGAGACTGCTCTCCATGCCACCCATGGCTACACGCTCTGCTCCAGAGATCACGCGTCTGCTGGACACCGTAGAGGAAGCCACGAGGTCCCTAATCTCTTTTGGCCGAGACGTCGACCACTGGGATGATTGGTTCATCCAATTAGTCGAGCTACGACTGGACAGCCAAACCCGAGAAGATTGGGAGAAATCACTAGAGCACCAGGAGGACTTCCCCTTGTACAAGGATCTCAAATCCTTCCTCGAGCACCGGTCTCGGACTCTGCAAGCTTCCAGTAGTATGGAGGCCGAGCATCCCAGCAACCGAGCTCCGTCCAAGAAGCCTCCTCACGTCACTCGAGCCCACTCGACCCATATGGCTCGGGACCGGCAGTCTACACCAGGAAAGGCCACTCTACGATGCGTCCTCTGTCGGGAGCAGCATCGAGTGTCCTGGTGCCCGAAGTTCAAGGATCTCTCCTTGGACCAACGAAAAAGGACTGTTCGTCAGCATAACCTGTGCTACAATTGTTTAGGTCAAGGTCATGGCGCCGCTTTCTGTCCCTCCGTGTATCGCTGCAAGATTTCCGGCTGCGGCGCATCCCACCACACCCTCCTGCATGAGGGTGCCGCTACCCGTGGTACTACTGACTCTTCCACCGGAGGAGAACCTTCGGCACCGACCGGCGTTGTCTCCCTACACTCGGGCACACGTCACTCGGGAGTGGTGCTACTTGCTACGGCGCAGGTGGCTATTCAGTCATCTTCCGGCAGGATTGTCGTCGTGAAAGCGCTCCTGGATCAGGGTTCTGAGACATCCTTCCTCTCTACAAGAGTCGCTCAGGATTTAGAGCTGCCCAAACGACGCTCTTCCACGCTCGTCTTCGGCCTGGGAGCCCAACACGGGACGAGGCCGTCAAGTGAAGTTGACGTCTTGTTACGATCAATTACCTCACCTTTCACTTTACGTTTCAGCGCCCTGGTGTTGCCCAAGCTCACCTCCTTACTACCAAGCAAACCAGTCGTTCGAGCCTCTTGGACCCACTTGGAAGGCTTGACTTTAGCCGATACGGAGTTCGACAAAATGAGTCGGGTTGACTGCATTTTGGGAGCGGACGTTTATCCTGCCCTCATCCTTGATGGTCTTATAAAGGGTGGTCGTAATGAACCCATCGCTCAGCGGACTACACTAGGTTGGGTCATCAGTGGCTTAACACCATCACCTGCCGAAGTGTCCCCTAGCCTAGTACGCTGCCACACAGTCGACACGGACTACCATAACGTCGCAAAGGAGCTCCGCAGGTTCTGGGAGCTGGAGGAGATCCTACCAACGAGATTGCTTTCCAGAGAGGACCAAGCCTGCGAGGATCACTTTTCGAGCACTCATGTGAGAGACTCCTCAGGTCGTTATGTTCTGCGGCTTCCTTTCTCTCGCTCCCCGAACTTGCCGAGCACCTTCGCGATAGCCAGAGCCCGCCTTTTGGGCACTGAGCGCCGCCTAGTTCGCAAGCCCAACGAGCAGAAGGCCTACGTTACTTTTATGAAGGAGTACGAGGACCTTCATCACATGGAGCGCATCGAGAAGCCTGACCTTGATAAAGAAAACTACTACTATATACCTCACCACGCGGTCTTCAAAGCCGACGGGAGCGGAAAGATTCGTGTAGTTTTCAACGCTTCACAAGATGCTTCCAACGGTCTCTCCCTCAATGACTGTCTACATGCCGGACCGAAGCTCCAGAGAGATATCTCCGTCATACTGACTGGCTGGAGATACTACCGCTTCGTTTTTTCAGCAGACATCGTCAAGATGTTCAGACAATTCCGCATTCATCGAGAAGATTCTGATTAGCTGAGAATCTTATGGCGATCCAGTCCAGACGGTGCTATTCAACACTACAGGCTCACCACCGTCACCTACGGAACGGCTTGCGCTCCATTCCAGGCCATACGAGTCTTGCTTCAGTTGGCCTCAGATGAGCGATTGAAGTTCCCAGTGGGAGCATCGATTTTAGAGCGCAACGTCTACGTGGACGATGCCTTGGCCGGAGCTGATACGCTGGAGAACGCCAAGGACGCACGTGATCAGCTGGCCGGCATCCTTCACTCAGCCGGCATGGAACTCGACAAGTGGTCTCCAAATCACCCTGCGTTACTGACCGGGCTGAGCGACGTGTCTACCCGAGACCTGCCTATCGACGCCCCAGATGTGGTCTCCACCTTGGGACTTCTCTGGTCCCCTAGATCGGATGCCTTCAGATTCCGTGTCAACCACGATGAACTGAAGCCCCCAACTACCAAAAGAGCAATTCTCTCCATCGTCGCACGTCTCTTCGACCCCATGGGTTGGCTAGGCCCAGTCCTTATCCGAGCTAAGATACCCATTCAAAAGCTCTGGCTCCAAGGATGCAACTGGGACGACCCATTAGATATTTCTTCACAGGAGGAATGCGATCTGTTCTGCCGGCAGCTCCGCGACGTAGAAGGGATCTCGATTCCACGATTCCTGGGTCGTGCGGCTGAGACACGCTGGTACCTACATGGCTTTGCCGACGCCTCTGAACGGGCATATGGGGCTTGCCTGTATTTCCTCACTCAGGACGACCATGGAGAGTGGAAATCCACTCTCATTACAGCGAAGACAAAGGTAGCGCCCATCAAGTCAATCAGCGTGCCTCGCTTGGAGTTGTGTGCGGCTCTCCTCCTGGCCAAGTTGGTGGCTTTCTTCCGCCAACAATTGCATCCTGAACCAATCCGTACTTTCTGCTGGTCGGACTTAACAATGGTCTTGGCCTGGATCCGAGACCACCCCTCTCGCTGGCAGACGTTCGTGGACAACCGGGTTAGCGAGATACACTGCCTCATCCCACAGACGCCTTGGGGTCACGTCAGGACGGAGGAAAACCCCGCGGACGCCTCCTCTCGTGGACTTTGCCCAAGCGAGCTGCGAACCAACCGGCTGTGGTGGCACGGACCCTCGTGGCTACTCAAGGACTGGTCGAGATGGAAAACCGAGGAGTGCGAATTCGTGTCGGCGCTAGAAGCGCGACCACCTCGCCAGGTGCTAGCACATCATGTGCAGCCAGAGGGGGACTTCCCTTTCACTCGCTTCTCCTCCTGGCAGCGACTCATCCACACCGTCGCTTACGCCCTGCGGTGGTTGAACCGCCTTCGAAGGGTCCCACCACAATACCCTTATCCGGGATTGGAGGCTCGGGAGATCCACGCAGCAACCAGCTGCGTCTTGCGTCTGGTCCAACGAGAGGCGTACAGCGAGGAGTTGCACTGCCTGTCGAAGGGTGCTCCTCTCCCTCGAGCGTCGACGATTCGTCGTTGTTCGCCCTTTCTCCATGAAAACGGAGTCTTGAGGGTGGGCGGTCGCCTCCAAAACACAACCTTGCCGTTCGAGGAAAAACACCCGGCTATCGTCCCACGCAAGAGCCATCTCGCAGCACTCATCTTGCGAGATACGCACCTGAATTCACTTCACGGCGGTCCACAGTTAATGCTTAGCTGTCTGAGACGTCGATTCTGGATCCCTCAGGTGCGCAGCGACGTTCGGCGAGAGGTGCGAAGATGCACCCGATGTGCACGATTCCAGGGCCCTCTGCTGGAGCAACAAATGGCCCCTCTCCCCTCAACCAGAGGAACACCGAGTCGCCCGTTCTCTACCTGTGGACTGGACTATGCAGGTCCATTCCCCATCCGGATGTGTAAAGGTCGCGGTCAACGTGCTACCAAGGGCTACCTGGTCATCTTCGTGTGCTTTGCCACACGTGCGGTCCATTTGGAGGTAGTCGCAGACTTGACCACGCAAACCTTTCTGGCGGCCTAGCGTCGTTTTGTCGGTTGAAGAGAACTGTGTCCCTCGGTTTGGTCGGATAACGGCACGACCCTCCAAGGAGCCGACCAGGAGCTGAAGCGTCTCTTTCATAGCGCCGCTACTTTCAGCAAGGAGATTGCTGAGACTCTGGCAAACGATGGAGTCACCTGGAACTTCATACCTCCGAGAGCGCCGTATTTCGGAGGTCTCTGGGAGGCTGGAGTGCGCTCATTCAAGCACCACCTCAAGCGCGTGGTTGGTGACGCGAAGCTGACCTTCGAGGAGTTCTCGACTCTTGCCGTCCAGATCGAGGCATGCCTGAACTCGTGCCCTCTCAGCCCTCTCAGCAGCGACGTGGAGGATTTAGCCCCCCTCACCCCAGAACACTTCTTGATTGGATCGGCGCTATTGGCTCCTGCAGAGCCAAGCGATACACCCGCCATTCCTCGCGTGGAGCGCTACCGGTTGGCAACCGTGATGCGTAACCATTTTTGGATACGCTGGCGCAAGGAGGTTCTCCATGAGTACCAGCTGCGCTCCAAGTGGTTGTTACCAACAAAACCCCTCAAGGTAGGTGATTTGGTTTTAATCTCCGATATCAACACGCCAGCGATATCAACACTGGGACGAGTTCTCGAGCTCCACGAAGGGTCGGACGACTTAGCAAGGGTAGCTACCCTAAAGACCGCCACCACCACACTAAGCCGCCCCTTGGTTAAGCTTATCCGCCTCCCAATAGATGACGGCCCGGAACCAGGACAGCCGCCGCTTGTCAAGGTGGGCGGAAGTCAACCGCTGCCAATAGGGGAAGGTGCCCTACACCCAGAACTCTCTCAAGAGTAGTTTTGTTGTTACCTTCGGTATCAAGGTGGGCGGGATGTTCGGGCTGGAATGCACGTCGCAAGGTCAGTTTTGCCCAAATTTATTTTGGCCTACTGCATAACAGGAGGTCGTGACGTCACTCGAAGAGAATTTACACCGGTTTCACCTAAGGGTCAACGATTGTCCATAAACTTGTTTTCTGTTTTGCTTCCTGTTTTTTAATGAATTAATAACACTTTTGTTTTCTTTTTTTGTATTCCTAATTTTGCTACTTGTTCCAACTCGCTTGGTGACGTCAGCAAACAGGCTACTACGTCCTCTGCAGACTTCAAGAGGGCAGCACTTCCCAGCGAGCATGATGGTTTTCGTCAGCGATCGCAGAGGTGGGAGTAACTCTGGTACCTCTTCCATTGACCCATTCACTGGAGTGGGAGACGGCGTCGAGGCGCTCACCAGAGTTGATGCCTGAGAGACGGACGAGCTGACCAGCCAGTTCTGTTCCTGATCACCAACGGATCGGTCATCTCTACTTCCGGCTCTCGACACGGCGGTGATAGTGAGCTCTCCGCGTGTCTATCACTGGGGTGTGCAGCGTTTGCCCCCTCTTCTCCCCTGAGATCTGGTCGAACAACCAGCGAACGCTCCAGTATCTGCTTCACAACGATTCCTCCGGCAACTGTCCCTGCTCATCTTCGTGACAGCCCTGGCGCCTGATCACCTGATGTGACAGTGACTTGTCTGGTTACTCGTGTCAAGCAGCGCTGTCGTCCCCAGGTTGGAAGCCTCTTAGCCTGGCGAGGAGATCGCGGTTGGCGTTCGCATCTGGGTGATTCTCACGGGAGAGCCCTTCTGTCATCTCCGTGTGGTCTCGCGAATTCGGGAAAGTGTTTTCATTTATTTAATTATACTCTCTTCATTGTATAAAAGTAAAGGTGAATAAATCTGGGTATTCTGTACGACGGTGACATCTCTCATATCAGCAACCCTATCACTCCTCGATCAAATCGGCATTTCCTAGCGAGTGTGATTTCTTTAGAAAAAACCGATCGACTAAAAATAACCTCGCGAACATAGCTAAATCGAAAAAAAAAATATCCGTGTTTTTTCTTTTGCCATTTTCAATTGTTTATAAAAAATTATTTAAACAAATTATCAAAAAGTTATTATTTTCAAAAAACTGATAGCGGCAATCGATTCTACGGGAAAAAACATGAAAGAAATGTGTATAACGTTTTTTTGTCAGACGTCAATTTGTTAGTGTAAAACGGCTATAAACAATTGCAAGTCTGTCAGGTACATGTGTATACGCCAAATCCCAAGCAAAATCTATTGCCGATAGCGCCAAACTAACTATACCAATCGTAGCTAAATCGAAAAAAAAAATACCCCTGTTTTTTCTTTTGCCGTTTGCAATTCTTTATAAGAAATTATTTAAACAAATTATCAAAAAGGTATTATTTTTAAAAAACTGATAGCGGCAATCGATTCTACGGGAAAAAATATGAAAGAAATGTATATAACGTTTTTTTGTCAAATGTCAATTTGTTCCAAAAACAAATAACTGTAAAATAGCGATTTTCTATAATACATTCAAATTTCTATGAAGCTTCATCCATGTGGTCATTTTTGTGATCATTGCATACAACTTTAGAACATTGTTCACAGTACAGCTGAGTTCTTTTTTTACACGATGAAACCTGACAATGTAGGTACTTACCTATTTTTATTTTGTGTTCGTTCGATGATCTATCACTATGTCTTTTTTGTCTGACAGGGCGGTCCCTTGAAAACTTATCGAGATAATATTGGCAAACTTCTTGCATAAGGTCTTTCGTTCCCTTTGGTAATTCTGGATGAAGCTTATTATAGATGACGGTAGAATTTGTCAATGCTGCCTGAATAAGTCTCACAAAGAGACACCACATCCATTTCTTACTTTTAATTGTAGGCGTCAATGCATTGCAATGTTGATCATGCAGATCAACTCCACCCATGTATCGATTATACATTGAAAACGCTTGAGGGAAGAGAATTGACTTCTTAGATGACTCGTGCCATCTCTGTACTTCAACTTTTGGCTCATCACCATATTTCGTTGAAAGAACTGATACAGGTTTTGAGTCCATAACAGTGATATAATTCAAATTTGAATTACTATCGTGCAAAGCCATAGTTGTACCCCTTTCTGCTTTTTTTGGCATCTCAACTTTTTCTTTGACTCGGTTTTGTTTAACAGTCCCAGTTGCTGATAATCCTAGTTCATCTAAATGAACCATCAGATCTGGACTTGTGAAAAAATTATCAAAATATATATGATATTTACGAAGATCATCTTTGTCAGTTACTTCTAATAGAGGTGAAAGTAACTTCATGACGACTCTAGATCCCAAACCGACGGCAACTAAAGGATTTCTTTCATCAATTCCAGCTTTTCCCGTATAAATATCAAGTTCATATATATATCCATCTGAGGAGCAAAGTGCCCACACCTTGAACCCGAATCGGATTGGTTTATTTCGTATACATTGTTTTATTCCGAATCTGCCATAATATTTGACCATTATCTCGTCTATTGATAGATTATAGTCAAAAAAGCCAAATTGCATACAACTTTGACGAAAATAATCATACAGTGTTCTTACTTTCCAAACTTTGTCGTTTTTATTCTCATCCTTCTTTTTATAAAATTTAATATTTCTCTTGATTTCAACAAATCTATTCCTTGTCATGAGATTAGATATGACTGGACACTGTAAAATTAATTTACTTGACCAATAGTCACGAAGATTCTTTCTAGAATTTATTATAGTAATCATTAAGATTACCATAAATTTTTCTAGGTCGATCATACTAAGTTCAAAATTATTTTCCGCTGTAGCTTCAATTATATACTTTTTCATTGAATCTGAAAAATATATTTCAAATAACTACAGAGTTCTTAGAAAATAAAGACGAAATCGATTGAATACTGAAGTTATCATCAGTATCCATAATTGTAGAGTGGCTTGGAGCCTCTTCTTGCCATTTATAGATATGATTATGTTCTTATAATTTTTGCGTACTAGTGTAAGTATTTTTGACATGTTCATAAGAGCCGGTGGGAATTATTTGAGATGAAATATCTTCATAAAGATTGCAATCAGAATCTCCATCTGAGCTCTCATGATCTCCCGGTATAAAAGTTATATCTACATGTTGACAATCATCGATATCATCCTCCTCAACTAATTCTGCTAAATCTTTTACTCTACGCCTTGGCATCTTCACTTATCAATTATAAACAAAAAATTATATTGGGACTACAAAAATCAGATCACTACCCAACACGACAACTTATACTAGAAATATTTGTAATGAAAACTGAATCTGTAAGATTACATGAAACCGTTAGCCCGCCACTCAAACGTGATCTCTAACACGGTTTCAATAGAAAAACATTTTGCAAACTCTTTACAACTTCGTAACCCAACAATTTCCAAATGTACAATTTGTGAAAATTCAAAGCTTTCTGTCCTATTTTCTTAAACAAATTGACGTCTGACAAAAAAACGTTATATACATTTCTTTCATGTTTTTTCCCGTAGAATCGATTGCCGCTATCAGTTTTTTGAAAATAATAACTTTTTGATAATTTGTTTAAATAATTTTTTATAAACAATTGAAAATGGCAAAAGAAAAAACACGGGTATTTTTTTTTACGATTTAGCTACGATTGGCATAGTTAGTTTGGCGCTATCTTTCCCAGGTTTGGCCTGGGCCTTAATGTGTTAACCAGAACAGAATATCCAAGAATTTTTATCCTAGACGATGAAAATAAACATACCTTCCGGGCAATAAAAGATAAAAACATTGAAAACATTGATCGATTTGCATATTTTAATGCAAAGATACTTTTCTTTAAAAAACACATAAGAAAAAGCTTACAAAAGTTATATTATGACGTGTTATTTCAACAGTGCTAGTTAGAAAAGAAAGTCACAATGAATGTACTAAATATCGCAACAATTAGTCCGGATTTATTGGCCTATTATTTGATGAACGGACCAGGCTACATGAGCCTACTCGCAGGTAAGGTCATTCACATAATTAAGTGCTTACCAGTAGACGTACGAACAAGAAACTCTTCAGAGTACTATCAAGAACTACCTGTAAAGCGCAACGGTAGACCTATGTTTATGACACCTCGCACACACATATTGAAATTTTTCGGTACAGGAACAGCCTGTGATGAGACAGTACCAGTAATATTTAAGGTAGGAAGTGGATGGTTTAAGATGTTACCACGACCGACCTATTTTGTCAATGGACCAAGAGTTTTAAAGCCTCAGACAAAACAAACATGGAAATATCTAGCACCCATTGACATAACGAACAGTGGAATTTATAGTTTGTCAGATATTAAAAAATTAAAAAGCTATATCATGTTTCCAAACGAACAAGCCGCAATTTTAAATAAAGTAGCAAAAAGTGTATCTTTGAACGGACGTCTCGGAGCAGAATTATCATTTTATCATATGCTCTATGAAAAAGCGCTAGAGAAATTAGCCGAATCCACATGGTTGAAATTATGGGGAAGATTTATTAGTTTTAGTTCGGTAAGCGCAGGCGTTATTTTCGTAATTATGCCTTTTCGCGTAATTACATTTATACTCGATACAATCATTCATGGATACGCACTCTATTCGGTTTTCGGATGGTCTATCAAAATAATAGGTGCAGTGTGGAATTCACTTACAAAGGGTCTAGCAGGGTAAAATGGTCAAAAATGCCTTTGAGTCATCCGGGAAAATAATTATACCCCCATGTTCAGCATGAAAAATGACTAGGATTCCCAGATTTTCAGACCCCTAAACCCATACAGGTCCCTATAAGGCCCAGTTTTGTCATTTTTGGTTTTTTGACCAAATCTCGGTCAGTTTTTGAGCTAGAAAAATCTTTCTTGTTTTAAATTGTAGGGTTTTTAAAGCCCTATAAAATGGCCGCGCTCAAAAAATTTTTGGCGCGAAATTCAAATTTTTAGAGCCGTTCAAAAATTTTAAAATTTAATATTAAGAAAATGAAGACCGACTCTTTGCTAGAAAAAAAATATGTTATCAACAAAAAACCTAGTTTTTCTCCCCTAGCGCTTTGTAGGTTAAATCTATGATGAAACAAATAGCACCATCAAATTCTGCGCAAAAAAATACATCGAAAACATGTATCACATGTATGGAAAAAATCAAAATCCTTCACAAATTCAGTACATGATAGCATCGGCCATGCCGATCGGCTCCACTGGCAGTGTAAATATTTATTCCTTTTCGATTCAAGGTCAACTCAAGATTGTTTTCGAACATGTGATACATGTTTTCGATGTATTTTTTTCCGTAGAATACGATGGTGCTATTGGTTTTTTCATAAAATTGACCTCATGAGCGCTAGAAGTTAAAAACTAGAAAAAAATCAAGTTTTTCGCGTCTTTGGTTGAGTTTTATGAAAAAAATCAGTAGCACTATCGTATTTTACGTGAAAAAATACATCGAAAAAGTGTATCACATTTTTTTTAATACTTCAGTAAGGATATTAATCATTAACAAGTTCAGGTAAGAAAATGATGTCTTATGCCGATCGATCCGGCTAATAGAGCAGACGTTTTTTTCATCATACACGTATACTGTAACGGGGGGATTAATCTGCAAAAATGGGAAATTTATATAAGAGCAAACTCCCACGATGCAGAGCAAACCGCCGCTCCGTTAACACGTATGTTAGTACGTGTATTCGCCTTAACGTCAGCTGACTTAACTTGGTTGTCTTCGATCAAGCAGAGTTGAACTCACCTTAAGTCACGTGCTTTGTGACACACGATGAGTTTGAAGTGTGAGCGACTTTACTCCTTCTCCGCTTAATCCCCTAGACGTAATAGGATTAACACCTAAGCCTATCTCAATTTCTTAAACTATTAGGAAAATCGTATGACGAAATCGGCGAATAAGTTTAACAAAGTTTATTCATAAAAAAATCTATACAGTCTTTGTCGGGCCGAAAGACTGACGCACGCGAATAGGATTTACAATTAATTCACTTTCGATGATAAAGAGAGAGAGAGAGAAGATACGAAAATTGGCGCGATCTAACGCTCGGCGCGAATACAAAATTATCAACGCTAACGCGGCTGAGCAAAATAATAAATATATTTTGACACGCGATAATAAAGGGAGGTGCTCCTACCCTGCGGTGCAATTACGGTGATCAGCCGTAATTGTTGATGCCAATAAAATGTATCAACTGCCTCCGGAACTGTTATATCGGCTGCGCTGTCTCGTACCGCCTATCAGCTGCAAATATGCTGCTACCGTGATGCTGTAATCTGCCGATCACTTTGTTGCACTCGCGCGTGTAATTACTCTTGGTAAAACTATCACTAGGCGAGAAAAACTCTGCAAATAAAAATCCGGCGATATCCTCTCGTAACAACAGCTGAGGCGTAACTGCTAATTTGAAAGATCGCGCGCCCCCTCTCTCTCTCTCAAAACTTAGAACTAACGCGCGAAATTCAGAATCGCGAACGGTTCGATTAATTGAATCGACTACCGTTGCAGACCCCTCCAAGTCCTGACTACCCGGACAGGACGAATACCCGCGATTCGCTGCCATCAGGAACCTGAAAGTAATAAAGAAGGAAAGGAAACAAAATAAACACTCCCTTCTTTATTTCGGCTAATTTATTTGCCCTCCAGGGCCTACATCATTGTTTGGCTACACCTGGCGCGCGATATTTCGGGTAGCGCCAGTGTGTAGCCTTCTTCGGGCACCGCTGGGAGTTGGTCACCCCAGGCTCTCCACAGATGTAGCAGCCCCTCAGCTGCGACCGAGATTGAGCAGCCTCCCGTCCTCGTGATGGCTGCTCAGCAGCCAGAGGGGACTGCTGGGCACTGACTCCCTGTGAGGCGACGATAGTCACGCCTCCCACCGTGGCGGTCGCACGTCCATCCTTCGACCTGACCACGATGGTGGTATCAGGAGCCATGCGCCCGTCCACATGGACCGTGAGCGTCGGTCCAGCGTCAGTAGCTCCCGGGGCTCTCTTCTCTTGAGCCGGCGCCGGGAGCGCTGCGGAGGACTCTTGTTCGTTATCCACCCGCAACAGGGCCTCTCCATAGGCCCTCTGACGCTGAGCCATCCCTGCCCACTCCCCGAGCAGCTCTTCTGCGCCCTGGCGGCTCAAAAAGCATCTCAGGTGCTCCTGCACCTGAGACTGGAGTTCTTGAGCGAGCCGCCAGGCACTCCCCACCTCGTTGATCCCCAGACGCACGTGTCTGAAGTCGAGGAGGAGAGTAGGCTGCTCAGGAATCCGGGGATGATTGCAGACCCAGTGCGAGGCCCCACAGGTTTCCCTGGGTCCTGGGCATTGGCTCGCACTGTCCGACGTAAGGGTTACGCCGGACTTGAGGGTCTGCACCCCCTGGTCCACTGTAGACTTGGGACGTTCGACACTGTCCTGGTCCTCGGTCTGTGTCGAAGCGTCCCGAGAAGCCTTCTTCGGGGCGACCCACGACGAATCCCGGAGAACCTCTGCCACCGAGGCATTGCGCCGATCCCTTCGGGTGGTCCCTTCCAACTGGACCCTGGCGAAGCTCCGCAGATCTTCAATTAGCTGCGTCGCATCAGAGCCCAGTTGCAGATCCAACAACATCTGCGTGACCACCTCGAAGGTCTCCTCTTCGACGACGATTCTCCGGTCCATCTGAAACATCCAAAAAAACAACAAATTTCGGATGAATCTCCCTGCGCGAAGAAACAATCCTAATAATAGCCGCATCCCACCGAGTTATACGCTCCCTCGCGATTCTTTGTGGGAACGTCCTGGCCCTCGTCGGTTACCGCTCGGTTTTATCGGCCCAACCGTCCTTTGTACGACGGGCACGGTCCTTCGAGGCCTACCTCTCCCTCTATTCACCTTCACGGGAGAGTTGTTGCCCCTCGCTGGACCGGTGACCGTCTCTGGAACCTTTCGAGGTCGACCTCGACCTCTCTTAGTTGGGGCAGATACCGGTAACTCCGACGTCTCGGTGGGAACTTTATCTACGACCGTGGGGGCTGCTAACTGGACCCGCTCGCTATCTGATAAATCCCCTCCCGGATTTTCGCGCGCATTCGCGGAGTCGTTCGCATCCTCCGACGGCAATTCTTCTGGCGGCTTGCGAGGTTCGATGACCTCCTCGCTTTCCTCATCCTCACCCGGACCGTAATATGGTTTAAGGTCTTTGGCATGGAAGAGC